ATAAAAAGAGAGGAAGGAAAAGAATTTCAGCAGAACTAAGTAGCACATCAAAAGTCTGACATTATATGCAATTTTTCATACTCAAATTGGCTTCTACAAAGATGGTGGGGAGGTTCATTTTCATGTAATTACATTGTGTTCAATTTTGTTGTTATTATTCTTTCTATCTACATTGTTGTCATTGTGTATATATTTTTTCCTCATCTTGCTTACTGCACTTTGTGTTAGTTTACATAAATCTTCCCATGCTTTTCTGAATTCTTCATATTCATCATTTCTTAAATGTTGTTTAGCCATTGCCCAATTAATGAGTTACTGCTTTGTTTCTAGCTTTTTGCTGCCAATAAAAGTGCTGCAATTAATTATTATTATTTTTTTTAATATGGGGCCTTTATTTCTGCCTTGTGACCTACTTGGTGAACCCCTTGAGGGTAGGGATTGGTTTTGCCTTTCTTGTATCCCCAGGTATAGCACTGTGCCTGAGAGGTAGTATATGCTTAATAAAAGCTTTGTGATTGATTGACTGATTAGGGTTCCTGCTCAGCAGTGGGCTCTTTGGGTCTGAACGTATACATTGTAATCACTTTTTTTGTTTGTTTGTTTGTTTTAACATATTCAGAAATTGTCTCTCAGAATGATTGGGCAGATTCACAGTTTGAACAACAGTATATTAGTTATGCCTGTCAACTCACAAGCCTTTTATCATTAACTGCTTTCAACTTTAGTCATCATTTCATTTTGTTGAATGTTGGAAGAAGCCTCAGAGTTTTTCTATGCGTGTCTCTTTATTTTTAGTTATTTGGAATAATTTCATATTTATTTTATGTTGGGTCACTTCTACTATAGATTTACAAGCTCCTTGAGGACAAGAATTATTTGCTAGGTGACACAGTGGATATAGTGCCAGTCCTGAAGTCAGGAAAACCTGAGTTCAAATGTAGCCTCACACATTTACTAGCTGTGTGAACCTGGGCAAGTCACTTAACTTCTGTTTTCCTTTGTTTCCTTATGTGTAAAATGGGGACAGTAATAGTACCTACCTCTCAGGTGTTGTGAAGATCAAATTAGATACTATTTCTAAAGTGCTTAGCACAGTGCCTGGCACAAAATAGGCACTATATGCACGTTAACTATTATTGTTATCATTATTGTCATGCCTTCTCAAAATTGTATCTTTGGTTCATCTGGGGATAACTTTAAAAATCTCTCCTTCACAGCCAATGTAAACAAATCAATGTACAGGAAAACCACAAGCAAAACAAAAGAATTCAGCATCCGTATTCTTGGGATGCCATGACAACTTGCTCTTTTTTTGTTTTTAATCCTCTTCTCAGAAAGAAATTTTGTAGGAATCCTATAAATGATCTTCTTCTCAAACTATACCTCATTCAGATTGCCCTGTTGAAATCTCTCCAGAGGCAATTAAGAGTTTAGCCTCTCATGAAACGTTTTATAGTACATCTAACAAGTTTCCAAGGGATATGGTTCATTTTTAAAAATTCCCATCACAGTCAATTAAACCAGTCTTTTTGTTCCTTTTACTCTAATTGCTTCAGACTTTCAACAGTGTGTCAGAGATAGCTTTCTTTTGTCTAGGTACGTCACAGACAAAATTAACATGACTGTTCTGTAGATATGTCTGTCCTGGATTTCTAGGCTATTGCAGTTTCTTTAGTTTGACTTACAGGTTCTAATGTAAATTTGTTGCAAGTGTACCACTTTAGTATGGGTTAAATACCTAGAATGGAAATTATTTTTTATAAATTTAGAAATAATTACTTGAATCTGCTCTTTTTGGTGCAAAATTAATATCTTATTTGTGTTAATGGAAAAAGTACTGGATCTGAGGTCACAGAATCTGAGTTCGGAGGGTGCTCATGGGCCATTCAGTCCATTCCTGGTTTTTTAACAGGATTAACTTTACGATATCACAGATAAAGAAAGTCATTCAACTTCTCTTGTTGTTGTTGTTTTGGTGAGGCAGTGGAGGTTAATTGACTTGCCCAGTGTCACACAGCTAGTATCATGTCTCTGAGGCCAAATTTGAACTTGGGTCCTCCTGACTCCAGGGCTGGTGCTGTATCCACTGCACCACCTAGCTGGCCCAGCCATTTGACTTCTTAACAGGGAATACCCAGCACCCCATGGGTCAGCTTGCCCTTTCTACTTTTGAACAACTTGAATTGATCACTTCTGCCCATTATTCTGACTTATGCTCTCTAGGTTGAAGCAGGCCTCATAACCCTTCAGATACTTATAGAGAGCTGTTATGTCCCCTTCAAGTCTTCTCTTTTTCCAGGCTAGAAATCCCTACTTCCATTAGTTGTTTTTCACATACATAGCCTCATCTCAAGGGCCCCCACTATCCTGGTCATCCTCTTCTAGACACACTTCAGCTAGTCTGTGTTCTTCCAAAAACATGCCCAGAATGGAACACCTTGCTGTAGCCATTGCCTACAGGACCGGACCAAGGACAGTGATATCATCTTCATGCTTGTTCTGGGTGACATACCTTTCTCAATACAATGAAAAATCACATTTGCCTTTTTTTGTCTACCTCACATGCAGTGTTGACTTGTATTGAACTTGGCAGTCTAGGATAATCCTCAGACAAAGGGCTTTGTCTTCTTTCCCTGAATACCCACTTTCAGTGTCCTGCTGGGCCTGTATCCAGGACCCTGTGATGTCCTAAGGGTAAAAAATTCATCCTGCTTGAGGATGGTCAGGTGGAAACTGGATTTGAGTTTGAATCTCGGCTCTGATACTTAAGTGGCCTTGGACAAATCACTACCTTTATGTCTCAGTTTCTCCCTCTGTAAAAATGAGAAAGTTAAATAATCTCTAAGTTCCCCTCTAGCTCTAAATCTTAAGAAAAAGACTAAAATGGATAAGAATGCACTTACAAATAGTATTCTTAGGTTCTATAGGTTTGTTATAAGATTCCATATTTATGATTGTTAGATTCTAAATGATTTGTTTTTTCTCTTTGGTAATGGAGCAATCAATGATTTGGGTTATTAATTAGATATGATAGGTTAGAGAGAGAAAAATATCAAAGATGAAACCAAAGTTTCACTTACTGGAGATGGTGTGAATAGTGGTGCCATGAATAGAAATAATGAAAATAAGAACAAATTTAGGAAAAATATGACATGCTTGGTTTTAGACATGTTGCCCTTGCAGTACCCATAGGATATTCAGGTGGAGAGGTTCCTGTAGGCAGCTGAATATGTAGGCCTGCCCTTTCTACTGACTACCTGTGTACCTTTATACAAGCCATTTCACATTTCTGGATTTCCGCTGACTCATTTATAAATGTTTGAGAAAACATTAACGTGGGCAAAACACAATGATGTTTGAGTTGTGCCTAAAAAGTAATTTAGAAGTATGTCATTAGCAGGTTTTCAGACAATATGGACACAAAAGTAGTGAGTCATTATCTTCTAAAAAGTAGTTAGTTAATAAAAAGTAATATCATTGATTCACATAATTGTATTAAATATATGAAAAACCCCACCAAAATATTATTTAGAGAAGAATAAATTGCAATCTGAAATAACAATGCTCTCATTTCTCAATAGGATACAGTCATTAATATAATTATTAATGATATTATACTTCCTTTTCATTGTTAATATAGTTTATCAAACCTCTTCACTCCAGTGATTGTGTCCCACATAAATGTCTCTGATTCATCAATTTGCAAATCTGTCAACAGTATCTTAGCCCTGATTTCAGCCTTGATAATGCAGGCTTATTACATCCTATACTCTATGAACCCCATAATAAATACATCATTTAGCTTTTTTTGCTGTCTCAGAGGTGATGTATTGAATGTCAAAGGTGGTACAGTAACAGCTATGACTATGTCTCTCATAGTCTTTCAATCTAAAAATCACCAGTTCCTGCTGAAGGAGCTCTTTCGGGCAGGTAACTATCTGACACAAAGTTAGGAAACATGATATGGGAAAATTGGAAAGTGTGACATTTCTGAAGCCAAATGAAGAAAGTGATCCTTGATGTAAGCTGTTTCAGGGAAAGTCAAATCAGATGAAATTGGACAAACATTCATTCAGCTTTTACTATGTATATAGTACTCTGCAAGTTACTGGGAATACAAAGACAAAATAGAAACAATCCCTGCCCTCGAGGAGCTTATTAGACCTGGGCAAAGGCCATTGGATTTAGTGATTAAGAGGTCACAGTGACCTTAGAGCAGTTTTAGTCAAGCAGTGGGGGCAAAAGCCTCCAAGGAGTTGAAGGACTGTAAGGACTTGAAAAATGGGTGATTTAAAAAAACAGATTAGGAAACTGAGGCTCAGAGAGCTTAAATGAACCTCTATCTGTTGTAAACAAGTTTTTCCACAGGTTTAACTTCGAAGTAGAGGAGGGAGATGAGACAGTAGCTGAATGGGATAGAAGGTAAAGAAAGGCTTTCTTAGGACCAGGGAGATATGAGGGCTTCATAGAGTATTGCTTCAGCTTTTACTCCCTTCTCTCATGTACATATCCTTACATATTTTCAAATTGTGTATTGAACTATCTACGAGTATCTAATTGTAATTCATTCTGCGTTGGCATCCTCTGATTGAAAACCTAGTTTGTGTTTGGGAATTTAGGGGGCTACCTGAGAGTATCTTGGCCAGTTAAAGTCAAGCATGATTTGAAAGGACGGCTAGTTGGCACAGTGGATAGAGTGCCTCCTGAAGTCAGGAAGAATCATCTTCTTGGGTTCAAATCCAGCCTCAGACACTTATGGGCTGTGTGACCTTGGATGAGTCACTTAACCCTGTTTATCTCAGTTTCCTCATCTGTAAAATAAGCTGGAAAAGAAATTGGCAAACCACTCCAGTTTCTTTTCCAAGAAAACCACAAATGGGGTCACAGAGACTTTGACGTGACTGAAACGACACGACAACAAAATGATTTGAAAATCTTACCTTGTATGTATTTGGGTACAACCTTTAAATTCTAATGTAATCTTTTCTTTAATCCAACAGTGAGGGTTCCCTATTTTATTGACTTGAAAAAGCCACAGGAGCAAGGCTTAAATCACACCTATAATTACTACCTCCAGCCAGAAGAAGGGGTAACCATTGGAGTCTGGTAAGTATAAGGTTCTATTTCTGCAGTGTTGGAGTTGCTAAAATTTTTCTGCAAGAATTTTCTCTTAATTAGATTTGGGAGGCAGTGTGGTGCAGTGAAAAGATTTGTAGTCAGAAGGACCTGGGTTCAAATCAGCTGTGCTATTCACTCATTCACTGTGTGGTCATGAATAAGTGACAACTTCCCTGGGCCTCGATTTTTCATTTGAAAAATGAAGACAATTTGTATAAGTAATACTAAACTCAGAGTGTTGTTGTGAAGCTCAAAAGAGTGTCATTGTACGTAAAGCTCCTGACAAGCTTCAAAGTTCTGTTTATATGTTAGGTGTTAATAATCATATCAGTAAAATGAGACTGTTGCAGCATGTGACCTCTGAGGTCCCTTCCAGCTTTAAATCTGTGACCTGTGATGATCTTCCACATGACCTGGATGCTTTGTATAATGTACCTCCATCCCGATCCTGCACATGAATGGACCAGAGTGTCATTGGTTGTCCTTAGTAAAATTATTATAATATCCTCCCTATGCAACTGAAGCACAAAATCTCATCTATAGATGTCAGTGTAATGTACACAGAATCTTGAGAGAGTTGACACGAAAGGATGAAACTAGTCACCTGGGACCTCAGTATAATTATGCTCCAGTTTATTTGAAATGAAATTGAAGGAGTCAGAAATGCCACCATTATTAGAACTGCCACTCCATTTTAGAATCTAAACGTTTCCTCTAAATCCCTAAAGAAGACAGAGACACAGACACACATACGCTCTTCAACTGGAAGTCTCATTGGCACCACAAGTTCAGCATGTATAAATCTTTCCCCAGAAAAGGTCTCAGGCTGTTCCCACGCAGGTCTGAGGGGAGGTGGCAGCAGAGGTGTGGCTCACTTGCCCGATGCTGCCTCCTGCCTCTCCTTCAGGGTCCCTTGCTGCTTCAGCTGGGTTATTTGACACTTGGTAGTAATAGCTAACTCCCTCTCTGCAATTGTTGCTTGCCAGCCACCTATTTCTGCTGCCTCAATCCATCCTTCACACTGCTACCAGATGAATATTTCTGTTGCATAGACCTGGTTGTATGAATGTGCTCAGAAATCTTCAGTGGTTTTCTGTTGCCTGCTGAGTAAAATTCAGACTTCTTTGCTTGGCATGCATGGCCTTCCACCATCCTGATGGCCCCTTGTCTTTCTTGCCTCAGCTTCTGTTACTTACTATCAAACAAGCTCTGTGCTTTCCTATGTGTGTCTTTGTTCATACCGTTCCCTCTACCTGTATGTCCTTCTGCTTTCTTTGTACCCACTGAATTCCTACCTATCTCTTCTAGCCCAACTCAAGGGCCACAAGCGCAAGAACGACTGCTCCACCCAGTTTTTAATGGGAGATAGTCCTTGGACCCAACAAGTACTTTGCTTATACCTTCCAAATGCATATATTATTTATTATAATTATTTGTATTTGTGTTGTATCCCTGATCTTATATGTTAAATCTAAAACCCTCATTTTGCCAATGAGGAAACTGAGGCTGAAAGAGGTTGGTGCCATCGAGTTACCTTATGTGAGTGCAGGGAGCCATTCTTACTAAACTTTGTATTTCTCCTGCAGATTCTAGCATAATGTGTTACACACAATATATGCTTAATAAATGTTATTATTGAATTTAAATACCTGAGATGGTTAAGATTTTGTGGTCCTATTGTTTGTCTCTTTTAGAAAAAATAATTGCTGATAGTTTATATCTAAAATAAACAAGGGGGGAGCAGCTAGGTGGCGCAGTGGACAGAGCACTGGGCCTGGAGTCAGGAGGACCTGAGTTCAACTCCCACCTCAGACTAGACACTTGACACTTACTAGCTATATGACCCTCGGCAAGTTACTTAACTCCAATTGCCTCACCAAAAAAAAAAAATCATAGTAATAATGAAATAAAATAAAAAGGGTTCTTAAGAAAGGACAAGAAACCATAAGCAAACATTGATGCTGAGGTTGCAGAGAATAATGGGTGAATTACTATCATTTATTTTCAGATAAATTTTTTTTTCCAGCGAAGAGAGTTCTTGAGCTTGTATTTATTAATTAAAGAATGTCAGTGGTGTCCTTAGTGATCATCTAGCCTGACCTTCTTATTTTATAGATGAGAAAACAGAGGACAAGACAGGTTGTGTTTCATGACCTGTGATCATTCAGATGTTAGGTTATAGTCAACCTTAGAAGCAGCAGCTCCTTGGCTAGGGTGGGGGTTGTAGTACGGATACCATTGATAGTATTTTCTGTGTTGACTTAGTTATATCTTGGGTAATAGATAATTAGAGCCAGCAAGGATTAGTAGTTATGTTCAATAGTTGGTGTTTGTTTGTATACATGCATTCATTTAGTGAACATTTATTAAGTGCCTACTGTGTGCAAAACATACTGATATGTGCAGGAGAAGATACAAAGTTTATGTGAGAGAGAGCCCCTGCCTTTAAAGAGCCTACAGTCTAGTAAGAGGAAAAGACTAAAAAAGAAACCAGGATATAGTGTTACTTGACCACATGTATTTGATATGACATAAAGTACTCTGTGAGGTGTAAGGGGAAATGCTGTTACAGACAGAGAATCAAGGAAGACTTCTTGAAGAAAGAGACATTTGAATTGTTTTTCAAAGGCTGGGTAGGAGTTCAGTAGGCCAAGAGTGGGAGAAAGGACTGTTTTAGGCAAAGAATTCTAGGAATGAAAGCGTGGAGAGTAGAGAAGATAGGGCATATTTAGGGGACAGTGAATAGTCTGCTTTGGGGTTTTGTAATCACTTTATGATTCCTTTTGTGCAAAGTGTCTTTTTATGCATGGTAGGGGAATAAGATAAAATAGAATTAGAAAGCTGGAGAGGTAACAGATTGTGAAGAGCCTCAAATGTCAGGCAAAAAGAGTTTGGCATTCTATACAATGTACTCAAGTTCTATTCCTGATGAGTTTCAAAAACATTTCTCTGAGATATGCTTTATTACAATGTAATGTAACTTAGTCCTGCTCCAATAGACCCAGCAGGAGTCCAACTCTGCGGCTGCAGCATGGAGAATTGGGAGCTCCTCTGTGAGCAGCAGTAGGCAGAAAGATACCTTTCTGTTTCTGGGTGCCTTCTGATGCTAGCATTCTTGGACCTTCCTGTGGATCTTAGTGGAGTTTGAGAAGCCTCTAGACTGAAATGTCAAATTTGGAACCTTGAAAATGTCTTTCTTACTTAATAGTGCACAGGTTCCTGGTCGTATTAGAACACTAATTATAGTTTTCAACCCCAAAGTTATATTTTCTTGGTCATTCTACATTTAGAAATGTGCTATGGGAAATTTTGAGCCAAGATGGTAGACTGGAGGCAACCCAGCTGAACTCTTTCAACATTTTCCTCCAAACAACTTTAAAATAATGCCTCAAATAAAATTGTAGAGTTGCAGAGCCAACAAAGGGTCAGAGTGAGACATTTTTCTGGCCTAAGAAAACTTAGGGGGTCAGCAGAAGTTTGTGACACAGGTAGAAGCCTGTGCAGAGTCCACACTGAGCAGATGCAGCAGCAGCAATGGTTTTGGGGACTCTCAGCCCAGAGACAAGAAGGGGGTCAGACAACTGGTCAGAAAGAGCTTATGGGGGATCCTGAGCTGGCACTGATTGGCAACTCTATTATACATACACAGTTCCAGGGCAGAGAGGGAGCACTGGAGGTTAGTCACAAGGAGGCAGGGCCCCTGGTCACAGTTCCAAGGCAAAGAGAGAGTAGCAGGGGACCAAAAGCCCTTTTTGGGTAAAGATCAGAATGCAGATTAGGAAAGCAGTGACCGTACCTCTCCCAGGATGATGCTACCTTGGATGCACCAAAAACATGGAGACCCTTAGAACTAGTTCTGAAAATAGCAACACAAAAAATCTTAAAGGCTGGGACAGTGCCTCCCTACCTCAAGGTGAGCAGAATACAACTTTAACATAAAGTTCAAAGTCAAGAAATAAGCTGGAAAAATGAGCAAACAACAACAAAAAAAATTGGCCATAAAAAGCTACTATGGTGTGGCAGGGAAGACTTAAGACAACTCAGCAGAGCAATGTGAAATTGCTACCAAAAAAATCCTCCTAAGAAAAATGCATATTGGACTCAAGCCCAACAGGAATGCTTGGAAGAGTTAAAGAAAGAGATGAGTGGTAGAAGAAAAATGTAAAAAGAAATGAAATGATGCAAGAAAATTATAAAAAGAGAATGAACAGCTTGGTAAAAAGGGCACAAAAATACTGAAGAAAATAACACCTTAAAAAATAGAATTGGCCTAGTGGAAAAAGAGTACAAAAATTCACTGATTTAAAAAAAATCTCCTTAAAATATAGAATAGGGCAAATGGGATAGGAATTATAAAAATTCACTGAAGAAAAGAATTCCTTAAAAATTAGAATTGGGCAACTAGAAGCTAATGACTCTATGAAACATTAAGAAACAATAAAACAAAGTCAAAAGAATGAAAAAATAGAAGAAAATGTGAAAAATCAGAAAAACAACTGACCTGGAAAATGGATCAAGGAGAAATGATTTAAGAATTATTAGATCTGAAAGCCATGATCAAAGAAAAATCCTTGATATTGCATTTCAAGAAATTATCAAGGAAAACTGCCCCAATATCTTAGATCCAGAGGGTACAATAGTAACTGATCTTCTCCTGAAAGTGGTCCCAAAATTTCCAGGAATATTATAGCCAAATTCCAGAGTTCCCAGTTCAAAGAGAAAATAAGCAGCCAGAAAGAAACAGTTCAAATATGGTGGAACTATAGTCAGTATCACACAAGATTTAGCGGCTTCTGCCTTAAAGAAACAGAGAGCTTGGAATATGATATTCTGTAAGGCAGAGGAGCTTGGATTACAACCAAGAATAACATGTCCTGCAAAACTGAGTATAATCCTTCAGAGGAAACAAATGGATATTTAATGATATAGAGTATTTTCAAGCATTCCTGATGAAAAGACCAGAGCTAAATAGAAAATATGACATTCAA